CTCTCGGAGGTTGTGTCTTCAACCTTGGCGGTGGCACCATCACTTTCTACGACCAGGACGCCGTCACGGCATATGATGAATGGCTCGACATTTGCGGAAGTCTTACCTCATCCACCGAATCGTCCACGACGAGCTTGACTTATACCACGACTCTGTCTTCAACCACCGAGACATCTAGCAGCACCTGGAGCTCTTCCACGAGTCTGTCTTCAACCACATTGACCTCGAGCACGACCTTTTCTGCAACCACCAGGAGCTCTACCACGAGTTTGTCTTCCACCACAGAGAGCTCTATTACCGAGACGTCTAGCTCGACGTTGTCTACAGCCACCGAGAGCTCTACCAAGACTCTGTCTTCAACATCCGAGACTTCCAGCACGACGTTAAGTACAACCACTGGGAGCTCAAACACGAGCCTGTCTTCAACAAGCAAGAGCTCTACCATGACTGGGAGCTCAAGCACGAGTGTGTCGTCAACCACTGAAAGCTCTGCCACTCAGACCTCCAGCACGACGTTGTCAACTACCACCGACAGCTCTACCTCGAGCCTGTCTTCAACCACCAGGAGTTCAACCACGACTCTGTCTTCAACCACATTGACCTCAACCACGACTCTGTCTTCAACCACCGAGAGCTCAAGCACGAGCCTGTCTTCAACTGTGAGTTTGTCTTCAACCACGAGTCTGTCTTCAACCACCGAGACCTCAAGCACGTCGTTGTCCACAACCACTTGGAGCTCTACCTCGACTCTATCTTCAACCACCGAGAGCTCGTCATCATCAACCGATACTTCAAGCACGACTCTGTCTTCAAGCACACAGAGCTCTACTGGAACTTCAGCTACCACCCTGACTACAGCAACTCACACCTCCAGCTCGACTGTGACTACGATAAGCTCGACCAGTACAACCCCGACCCATTACGTCTTGCTGCCAGCTGGCCTGATGTGCGCTGATGCGGGCTACGAGGAGGTCCTGGACGAGATTGGGTGCTTCCACAACGCCACAGCTTACATAGTGGAGCTCCAGGGCCTCACGACAGTGCAGTCAGATTTGTTTGATGGCTCGTGCGTCGTATATTTTGGTATTCTCTTCTTTGGCAACGGGCTTGCCGGTGCTGCTAATTTCAACAGGCAGAACGTCTGCCAGGGTGAGGAGCAGACCACCTCATCCACAACCGGGACGACCTCGAGCATGTCCGTGACAACAACCACCCTACGGTACGACCCTACAAATCTCCTCTACCCAGACGTTTGCCAGATGTGGTATTTTTACGTTGCCAATTCCACCACGCTTGCCGATCGACAAGCCGAGTGTTCCGACGTCGCTGATACAATGACCTCAATCAAGCAGTACACAGTATTTGGCGAATCGCGTTCGGGGCCGAAGTACGTCGACGTGTCGGTCTCTGACGCAGGTCTCGCAGGCTGTATCTTCGATCTTGGTGGTGAATCTATTTCTTTCTATGACTCAGGTCAAAGTACTTCGGCAACAAAGCAAGTACTACAGGCGTACCTATCCTGGCTCGACATTTGCGACGGCCTTACCACATCCACAGAGTCGTCTACCACGAGCTTGACTGTTACAATGACAGAGAGCTCTAGTACGTCTTTGTCTTCGACAAGCCAGAGCTCTTCTAGCAAAAGCTCTACCACATCCTCGTCTCCAACGTCCGAGACCTCCAGCACGACAATGTCTACAACCACCGAGAGCTCTAGCCCGACGTTAACTACAACTACCGGGAGTTCTACTTCGAGTCTGTCTTCAACCACGGGGACCTCCAGCGCGACGTTGACCACAACGTCCAGAACATCCAGCACGACGTGGTCTTCTACCACGAGTCTGTTTTCAACTAGCTCGACGTTGTCCACCACCACTGAGAGCTCTAGCACAACGTTGTCTACATCAACAACTACTGCGAGCTCTACCACAACTCGGTCTGGAACAACCGAGAGCTCTACCATGAGTTCCACTCTGTCTACAACCACTCAGAGCTCTATCAGCATGACCCTGTCTTCAAATACCGGGACCCCCAGCACGACTTTGTCTACAACCACCGAGAGCTCTAGCTCGACGTTATTTACAACCACCGAAAGTTCTTCCAGTATGTCCATATCTTCCAGCACGACGCAATCTTCCTGGTCAGGAACATCAACTTCGAGTTTTCACAGCTCCACGGCTTCGAGCTCGATCAGCTCCGCGACGACTGTGACTACGACGTTAACTACGGCGTCTGAGACCTCCAGCACGACTGGGAGTACGACGTCCGAAACATCTAGCGCGACGCGGTCTACAACCACTGAAAGCTCTACCGTGTCTTCCATTACCCTATCTTCAACCACGGGAAGCTCTTCCAGTACATCAGAGACTACAGCAACCAATACCTCCATGACCGCAACCCCGGAGCGTTTTTCTGAGATCCGCTGCACCATCGGGCTAATATTTTCCAACAACGTCTCCACTGCTGAAGTAGCGACCGCTTCCCAGACCACTCTCTCGAGCTACTTGAACGTCTCGGAGTCATGGATCACAATCGACTCTGTTACTGAGAGTTCGACCGAAGTGTCAGCGAGACTGCTGACCAGCGCGTCTACCACGTTCTCTTTCCAAATTCTCTACACGGTTCTGGTTGGCGGCATGGACGCAGACACAGAGTCGACCCTCCTGACCGCTCTGTTTAATGACTCCAGCGTCCTCGATTCGACTCTCGAAGTGGTAGTGGCGGATTTAGGCTTGGGGAATTTTTCAGTCTTCTGGGCAACCGAACCAGATGTCATTCTTTGGCAGTTCACCTCCGCAACGCTCACGTCAACGACAGCCACTTCCACAACGTGCTGCGTGTGTGATCTCCCTCCCATCGTCAACGACGTGCCCGTGGTACTTACTGGGTCTGGTTCTTCCAACGTGTCTGGCCTGCCAGACTTGATCCGCATCGAATGTTCAGGCATCGGTTGGTTCGACACGTGTGATCCTGTGTGTGGTCCTGGATACGCTCCATCAGAGTCGATGGTCTGCGTCAACACAACAACGCCGATGATTCCTTCGGAGTTCACGGGAACGGCCATGTGCGAGAAAGTTGTTTGCGGCGGCAGCCCGGACTTGGAGCTGCCGATCGGTTATGAGCTGTGGGATCCTGGCTGCGCGAACGTGCTCTACCAGGAAGTGTGCAATATTTCATGCTCCGACGGTTACGAGGATCTGGGCTTCCCCGTGCAAATCGAGTGCCTGGCCTCGACGGATTACGGCTGGGCCAGTGGTTCGGGAACCTGCGCACCGAAGAGATGTTACGCAGATTCGGTGCCAGATATGCCGCACGTGGCCAATAGCTATTCCTGCATCGGCACTGCAAGTGGCGCGAGCTGTTCGCCAGTGTGCAACGAGTCGTACGAGCTTGTCGTGCCAATCAACTGCATCAATGGCCAGTTCGAAGAGGTACCTTTGGTCTGCATATCCTCCGAACATTCGGAGGCGCTCGAGCTCATGGAGGTCTTGCTCGTTGAAATGGCGATCGCCACCAACGAATCCGATTCTGGCCCGACTGTCGACTGGGCTAGCAGTGCAGCAAGCGAGGCTGCCATCACGAGCTCTCTCGGCAAACTCTTAGGTGTGCTTCCGGGTCAAATCTTTCTGTTTGCGAAGAGGGACCTGAACTCCGACTCGAACTCTGGCCTTCCAGCACGGCGTTTGACATCGCAGCAAGGCCTGCTCTTCAAGACCGTGCTCGTCCCATCTGGTTGGCGTGCGGCAGCTTCCGCCACCGTGCCAGCGCAGGACTCCGTGTGTGGCAGCGCTGCGAGCACCGCCTGGGAGGCCGTAATTAATATGTGACACCTCTTTTTTCTCCTTCCTAAGAGCCTCATCTTCGGGGCTCTTTTCGATTCATCCGATTCGATTCGATTCGATGTCGATGGATTCCGATTCCGATTCGCTTCGATTTCGGATGCCGATCTGGGCTCCGATTTCGCAGCGGAGGCCTTGCGGCCTGCCGATTTCCGCCGATCCGACTGTTCCCGACTTGGCTGCCGATTTCCGCTGATCCGATTCGTGTCGATCGCCAATCCGATTTATCGACACGATTCTGGGCTCTCCCGCACCTTGGCCCTCCCAGAGCCGTGCTCAGGCTGTCTTGGGCTCCCGCGAGGCCGTCTTTGGGGCCTTCTCGGGACCTGCTTTTGGCGTGGATTAGGGCCCTCGTGGGCCGTCTTGGGCTTGGGCCCGCCCCACTTGGCCGTCTGGGCAGGTTCTTTTGGGGGCTCTCTTGGGAGTCTTTTGCGGGGCCTCTTGTTGCCCTCTTGGGCCGTCTTTGCGCCCTCTTGGGACTGTCCTGGGCCGTCTGGGGAGCTTCTTGGGGCACTCATTGAGACCGTTTTTAGCCGAGAGGCCTTGGAAGCCCGACATAAAAAAAGGCCCAAGAAATTCCTCAGGCCTTGGAGCGATGCTGGCTTTCCTGGGGAGCCTCTTGGCCTTCTCTTTGGTGTCTTGACTGCCCCTTGGAGCCTCTGTGGCGGGGTACTCTTGGAGGCTGAAAAGGGGGGGGCTTCTTCAGGCAAGGCGGCACCATCTTGGCGGCCTTGGTGGGCCGACTTGGAAGCCTCGGACAGCTTTGGGCCCCAGGGGATCGCTGGGCAGCCCAGGTAGCCTCGAGGGAGGAGGGCGATGTACGCAGCTGGGCGTTTCCGGGCTGGGAAGGTCAGGCGATCGCAAACATGGATCAAGCGGGCGTGGACTAGCGACGGGTCCCATTTCCATGGGAAATCGCAGTTTCCGCCGCCGAACGAGGCGGCACCGGCCGCATTTTGGGGAGGCCACCTCCCCCGATCCATGGATTTGGCGACCGCGCGCCAAATCCGTGGATCGCTAATCCATGTCTGCGCGCCCCCGAGGATGGGAGGACCCTTTAAAGGACTTGCAGAAGCCGTGCCAGATAGCCCTTGGCATTCTACCACGCTTCGACGTGCCAGGGGGCACGGCGGCGGATATCCAAACGCCAACGCGACAGCAATGGAGGCGAGCACCATCGGTCTGAGCGGGGCCAACTTCATCGACGAGCTCCTGGCTGCACTGCAGGACGACGGCGTCGGCGCCCCACCCGGCCTCGCCACGGCCACGCTCGTCGTCGGGACGCCCGCGCTCGCCAACTTCACCGTCCCCGTGGCGCGGTGGGTGGCCCGCACGCCCTGGTCGCTGTGCAGCAACATGTGTGGACCGGGGGAGCGCACCCGCATGGTGGATCAGGGGCAACGTCAGGGGGGGACAGGCCAGGCTCAGGGGGCGATGCATGGCCCCCGATCGACCCCTCGGGAGTGGAAATACACTGCGGGGGGAGCTCGGGGGGGAATGGAGGTTGGGGGAGACGGGGGGGGGGGAGGGGGAGGAAGGGAGAGGGGGGGAGGCGAGAGGGAAGGGGCAGGGGAGGGTGATCGGGTCGAGGGAGAGGAGAGAGGAGGTGGATCAGGGGCAACGGTAGGGGGGGGATAGTCTGAGAGGGGAGGCATCGACCCACGCCCAATCGCCCATTGATCGCCGATGTGGGGCTTGCTAGCCCACCCCGCCCAGAAACGTGCGGATCCGCAATCGGAGGCCTATCGATGCCTATCGCCGATCTATCGGCGATGTCTCGCCGACTCAAGCTCGATATTTCCCCCCTGAGCCAGTCCCCCCCTGAGGTTCCCCCTCAGGTGGAGTGCGTGGGGGCTTGGGGCAACAATGGCACCGACCTGTGCAACGCAAACGCAGCGCCTGGATTCACCATGGAATCGTACATGCCCGACTCCGAGCCCTGCGAGCAGTACACCTCGTGCGCCTACGACTGGAGTTGCCCCAGCGGCCCAGACCCTGTCACGGGCGAGGGCTGCGAGACGCAGGCATCGGGCGTGGCAATTGGGATTGCTGTCGCTTTCCTGTGCTTTGGTTGCCTCCTCTGCCAGTACATTCGGAGAAGCAAGAGGGCGCTGGAGGACAAGCTGAACGACATGCTAGGGTTCAAGAGAACGAACATCTATTGGGAGGATGAGGATGGGAGGGAAGAGACCACTGACAGCATATCCCACCAGCTGTTCTATACTGGGCAGGCAGTAGAGTACTGGTCGAAGCCGCATCAGACATGGCTACCAGCCAATATCCTTGCTGTCAAGGAAACGCAATACTACGACAACGCCCTGAAGTTCTACGCGCTCAGCTTCGATGTCTCCACGGGGTCGGCCGAGCAGAAGGTGCATGGCGTGGACATGATGAACCTGCGCGTGCCTTTTGTGCATGGCGAATTGGTGAGCGTCTTTTCCCAGAAGTATGGGAAATGGTTTCCGGCCCGCATCCACGAGTCGTGGTATGATGTCGACACGAGGATCGAATACGATGTCATGTTGGAGGATGTTTTTGATGACTACCTGGGGACGTACGTCCTGTCCGAGCTGCAGAAGGACCTCGAGAGGCACTGCATTGACCGGGGCGAGAACCTGCCGGCACTGAAGAAGATTCCGGCCAAGCGCCTGAGGAGGCGCTACAACAGCGGGGACCGCGTCCGTGTCTACAGGGGTGCCGACGAGGGCTTCGTGGAGGCAGAAGTCGTCCGTGAGGAGGAAGAGGAGGCAGGGCGGCGCGACGACCGAACTCCCCCGAACCTGTCTCCCCGCACCGGCAACGCCACACCCCCTGGCGTCGCCGCCGCAGGCCGTCCGCGCAGCCAGTCGTCCCTCCGCTCGCGCAGCCCCTCTCCCGGTGGCAGCACCAGCCCCCCTGCTGGCGCGCAGGAGAAGGCGAGGCGACACCACGGCGGCAAGCGCTACGCGCTGGTCACCGTGCGGCGCGTCCTCTCCGCCGGCGCCCGCAGCGTGCACGGCCTCCCCGAGGAGACGATGCGGCTGCCGGAGTACGTGCTGCGCAGGCCCGCCGCGCCGCAGGGCGCGGCTGCCCCGCCCGCGGGGCGGGGCGCCCCCCGCGGCGGAGGAGTGGCACCCGGGCGCGCCCCGACGAGCCCGGGCACGGAGGTGTGGGTCAATTGACGTCGCTGCGCTGCCGGGCGGTCCAGCCGCTTCGCGAATGCCGCCGGCCCCTCTTGCACTAAGCCGGGCGTGTCCCTCTACAGGAGGAGTATCCAAGAATAGCCAAGCACTAGTCAGGGGACTGTTTCTGTAGGAGGACGCGCGGACGGCCGGGGACTTTTTTTCAGGCGGCCTAAATCTGGCAGCACGGTCGGACGGGGTGCGGGGAGAGCGGGGGCGAAGATCGGCCGCAGTTCCGGCCCACCCTGCCCAAAAGACTCGCCGTCGGCGTCGCCGCGGACGCTGTCCCTTTGAGACAGAAGGCCGCCTTCCCACCAGCGGTCGCCATCGGGTTTCGAAAAAACACTGACCATTCGCGGTTGGGCATCGTACCCGTTTTTCCGTAGCGTCTGAGCTTTTGCACCATGGTTGCTGTTTGCTTGTGCGCTCATGGGGCCAGGGGACCTGTTGACGGTGGCTGTCTCACCCGACTGATGTGGAGCTCGCGCATGGGAAAATCAGTCGCTGGATGGATTGAGGGCGCAACTCAACGGAACGCGTTCCCACCTAAAGTTCGTCATCGGAGCGAGAACGCACGAGAAGGCATCAATTCGTGAACGAATGTTTGTGTTTGCGCTATTTGACTTCTTGACAGCCTCCGAGGGTAGCTTATTCTGCCATTCCGGCAAAGACGGTCCAAGTGGGCCTCAAGGACGGCCAAGAGGCTTCCAACACGGCCGAGGAGCCTCCCAAGATAGCTTAGATATCACCTAGACGGCTGAAAAGAGCGGCCTAAGAGGGCTCAACGCGGCCCAGGAGCGCTCCAAGATGGCTCAAGATGGCTCCAAGTCGGCCCAAGAGACCCCCAAGACCGCCCATGATGGCCCAAGAAGACTCCAAGGGGGCCTCAAGAGGGAACTGTTGTTTATTTTCAATTGTGTTTGAATATTTTTAGCGTTTTCGTTTTTCCCTAATTTGGCTTTGTCTGACGGGGTTGAAATGTGTTTGTGAAAGAACCGTTGGGTGCGGCGGCACTTGTCAGAAGGAGCCCCCGTGATTCTTCATGTTGCCCCGTTGCCCGCTTGCTCCGCGTCACTCCGGGTTGCGGGGGGTTGCTCGGTTGCTTGGGTTGTCCGGTTGCCCAACGCCAGACACTTCTCTCCTCCCACCCCTGCCTCTGCCCTTCGCATGTCTCTGTTTCGGCACACCCCTCACACGTTTCGCCGCCCCATAGGGAGCGCCACCAAAGGCCCCAGCGGGAGGGTCCGCAAGCGGCTCCCCGCACACCGCATGTCCATTTCGGCGCACCCGTGATACGTTTCGTGGCGCAACAGGTGGCGCCATCGAAGGCCCCAGTGGCAGGGTCCACATGCGGCTCCCCGCCAGCCGCACGTCCATTTCGGCACACCATTGCACGTTTCGTGGCCCCATAGGGAGCTTCACCGAAGGCCCTAGAGGCAGGGTCCACATGCGCCCCCCCGCCCACCGCACGTCCATTTCGGCGGCGCACTCCTCACACGATTCGTGGCCCAACAGGGAGCGCCACCTAAAACCCCAGTGGCAGGGTCCGCATGCGGCTCCCCGCCAGCCGCATGTCCATTTCGGCACACCTGTCACACGTTTCATGGCGCAACAGGGGGCGTCATCGAAGGCGCCAATAGCACATGCGGCTCCCCGCACACCGCATGTCCATTTCGGCACACCCCTGAGACGTTTCGTGGCACCACAGGCCCCACAGGGAGCTTCACCGAAGGCCCTAGAGGCAGGGTCCACATGCGGCTCCCCGCCAGCCGCTTGCTCATGTCGCAAAGAGCGCGTTCTGTGGGCGCTTGGAGGGGGTGGGGGGGTTTTGAACTGGACCTCCCCCCTGGATTGAAGGGGGAGGTTCGACCCCCATCCCCTCCTTCCGTGACGTTGTTCCCCATGCCATTGCCATGCAGATGCCACGCAGCTGCCATGCAATTGCCATGTTTTTGCCATGCTATTGCCATGCAATTGCCATGCTGTTGCCAGGCTATAGCATGGCAGCACGGGAACTGCATGGCAATTGCTATGCAATTGGAGTGCTAGTGACATGCAAATGCAATGAAAGTGCCCTGCACTTGTCATGCTGTTGCAATCCAGTTACCACGACGCTGTCATGCTGTTGTCATGCTGTTGCCATGCTATTGCCATGCCGATGCTATGCTCTTGCCATGATGTAGGCATGTCGTTGCAATGCTGTTGTCATGCCGCTGCAATGCCGTTGCCATGCTGTCACCATGCTGTTGCCTTGCTGTTGCCATGGTGTTGCCATGCTGTTGCCATGCTGTTGCCGGGCGGATGCGATGCTGTTGCCATGCTGTTGCCGTCCCGTTGCCATGCTGTTTCCATGCTGTTGCCATGCTGTCCCCCATGCTGTTGGCATGCTGCTGCCATGCTGTTGCCATGTAGCTGCCAAACTGTTGCCACGCCAGTGCCATGCTGTTGCCATGCTGTTGCCATGCTATTGCCATGCTGTTGCCATGCTGTTGCCGTGCTGTTGCCATGATATTGCCATGCTGGTGCCATGCTGTTGTCATGCTGTTGCCATGCGGTTGTCATGCTACTGTCATGCTGTTGGCATGCCGTTGCCACGCCATTGCCATGCCGTTGCCATGCTGTTCCCATGCTGTTGCCATGTCGTTGCCATGCCGTTGCCATGCTGTTGCCATGCTGTGCCCAAACTGTTGCCACGCCAGTGCCATGCTGTTGCCATGCTGTTGCCATGCCGTTGTCGTGCTCTTGCCATGCCGTTGCCATGCTGTTGCCATGCTGTTGCCATGCTGGTGCCATGCTGTTGCCGTGCTGTTGCCGTGCTGTTGCCATGCTGTTGCCATGCCGTTGCCATGCCGTTACCATGCTGTTGCCGTACTGTTGCCATGCGGTTGCCATCCTGTTGCCATGCTGTTGCCATGCTATTGCCATGCCGATGTCATCATCGTGCTATGGTGTAGGCATTCCGTTGCCATGCCGTTGCCATGTTGTTGCCGTGCCGCTGCCATGCTGTTGCCATGCTGTTGCTGGGCGGATACGATGCTGTTGCCCTGCTGTTGCCGTGCTGCAGCCAAGCTGCTTCCATGCTGTTGCCATGCGGTTCCCCGTGCTGTTGCCATGTTGCTGGCATGCTGTTGCCGTGCTGCTGCCACGCTGTTCCCATGCCGTTTCCATGCCGTTTCCATGCTGTTGCCCTGCCAGTCCCACGTTGTTGCCATGCCCTTGCGGGGCTGTGGTCGTGCTACTCCCATGCCATTGCCATCTTGCTGCCATGCTGTCGCCATGCAATTGTCATGCTGCTGCTATGCCATTACCATGCCGTTGTCATGCCGTTGCCATGCTGTTGAGTGGCTATTGCCGTGCTACTGCCATGCCGTTGACATGCTGTTGCCATGCTGTTGCCGTGCTGTTGCCATGCTGTTTCCATGTTACTGCCATGCCCGTGCCATGCTGTTGCCATGCTGTTGCCAAGCTATTGCCGTCATACTGTTGCCATGCAATTGCCATGCTGTTGCCATTATATTGCCATCCTGTTGCCATGCTGTTGCCATGCTGTTGCCATGCTGTTGCCATGCTGGTGCCATGTTATGGCCATGCTGGCCACGCTGTTGTCATGCTGTTGCCACGCCATTGCCATGCTGTTGCCATGCTGTTGCCATGCTGTTGCAATGCCAGTGCCATGACGTTGTCATGCTGTTGCCATGCTGTTGCCATGCTGTTGCCATGCTGTGCCATGATGATGGCGTACTGTTGCCATGCTGTTGCCGTGCTGTTGCCATGCGGTTGCCTTGCCGTTGTCATGCTGTTGCCATGTTGTTGCCGTGCTGTTGCCATGCGGTTGCCATACCGTTGCCCTGCTGTTGCCGTGCTGTTGCCATGCTGTTGCCATGCTGTTGCCATGCGGAGGCGATTCTGTTTCCACGATGTTGCCATGGCGTTGCCATGCTATGGCCATGCTATCGGCATGCTCTTCCCATACTGTGTCCATGCTGTTGCCATGCCATTGCCATGCCATTGCCATGCCGTTGCCATGCTGTCGCCATGCCAGGGCCATGCCGTTGCCAAGCTGTTGCCGTACAGTTGCCATGCCATCGCCATCGCCATGCTATCGCCTTGCCAACGCAGGATGGCTTGCGGGACGATTTGCGGGGTGGCTTGGGCAGTTCCACGCGGGAAGGCGTTGATTCGCGCAAGTTTGGGGGGGTACTAGTTCAGGAGGTTCCTGAAACATTACCCCGCTTGACTTGCGCAAGTCTGGGGGTACGTTTTCGGGGAGCTCTTGAAACATTACCCCCCCAGACTTGCGCAAGTTAGGTGGTGTAATTGTTCAGGAATCTCCTGAGAAATTACCCGCCCAGACTTGCGCAAGTCAGCGCCTTCCCGCGTGGACCTGCCCAAGTCACCCCGCGAGTCGTCCCGCAAGCCATCCTGCATTGGCATGGCGATGACATGGCGATGGCGGTGACATGCCAACTACATGGCAACATCGTGGCTACGGCATGGCTCTGGCATGGCGGCATCATGGCAACGGCATGCCGTTGTCATGCCGTTGCTATGCTGTCGCCATGTTGTTGCCATGCTGCTGCCATACGGATTCCATGCCAGTGCCATGCCGTTGCCATGCTGTTGCCATGCTGTCGCCGTGCTGTTGCCATGTGGTTGTCATGGTGTTGCCATGTTGTTGCCATGCTGTTGTCATGCCATTGCCGTGCCGCTGCCAAGCTGTTCCCATGCTGTTGCCATGCTGTTGCCATGCTGTTGTCATGCCTTTGTCATGCTGTTGCCATGCTGTGGCCATGCTACTGCCATGCTATTGCCATGATGTTGCCATGCTGTTGCCATGCTGTTGCCATGCTGTTGTCGCGCTGTTGCCAAGCTGTTGTCGTGCTGTTACCATGCTGTTGCCATGCTGTTGCCATGCTGTTGCCATGCCGTTGCCATGCTGTTGCCACGTGGTTGCCGTGTTGGTGCCATGCTGTTGCCGTGCTGTTGTCATGCTGTTGCCA